CCCCAGTGGCTGAGAGGCCAGAGCTGAGATCAGAGCTGAGAGGCCAGAGCATCTCATGCCATCTCTAAAGGATCAAGCACAAGCAGGAAAAGTGTTGCATGTTGGCAGSRCAAACCTTTTTTCACCTCAGACTCCTTGCTCTTGAGGAAAAATGATTTTTTTTAATGTAGTGGTTTTATTTGATGCTGGAAATGATCAGTGCAGCAAACCACAAAGCAGAAAAAATGTAACTTTTCTTCAGGGAGGAAGGCACTAGGGAGTAAACTCACAACCCAACTAAGATCCCTTCTACACAGCTGTATAAAATCCACATWGAACTGGATTATATGACASTGTGGACTCAGATAACCCAGTTCAAAGCAGATATTGTGGATTATATGCCTTGATATTCCGGGTTATTTGACTGCGTGGAAGGGGCCTTATATCCCAGGATCTGATCCCAGACTATTTGCTTATCCCAGACTAGCCATCCCCTGCCACATGTTGCTGTGGCCCAGTCTGTCTATATGTGTTTGTGTATGCATATATGCATGTGTGTGTGTATATATGTGTGTATATGTGTGTTTGTGTATATATGTGGCTATGTGCATGCGTTGTAATGTATTTTTTTGTTTTTGTGTCTCTTTTGCTTTTTAAATCTCTTCTGTTGTTTTTTTCAATGTTTTTATGTGTTATGAGCATTTGTTGGCCTGATAGGTGTATTGCGTCCAAATTTGGTGTCAATTCATCCAGTGGCTTTTGAGTTATGGTAATCCCACAAACAAACATCACATTTTTATTTATATGGATTATCTGGCAGTGGAGACTCATATAATCCACAATATAGTTGTTAGCAGTGAATCATATAATCCAGTTCAAAGCAAATAACCTTAGATCAGCTACTGGGGTATAAGGACAACTCTGAAGGGGGCTGAGCCCACTGATTTGTGCAGTGGTGCAGCTTTCTCCTGTGATTTCCCCTTGAGATCTACTTGGGAGGAAGCGTGGCATATCTAGTGGTGGGCAGGCAGGGAAAAAGCAGTAGTACAGCAAGTCCATCCTTTCTGCTCACCTGCCTGAAAGCAACAGTTGCAGGGGAGGCAGCCAAAGTGGAAGAAGAGAAGAATCCCTTCCCCATTGTTCTTTCTTTTTTTAAAAAAAACTACCCACTTCTTAATCTGCAAACCCATGTTTTGCTGCTTTTTGCCATTTTGCACCAGGAGAGAGTTGCGTGAGGAAGAAAATGGGAAGGTTTTCCAGAATTGGCTTCGGGCCTGCTGGTTACTTTCTTTACTGAACTAGAGTTGGTTATGTTTGTGGAAGAAGAAAGCAGGGAGAGAACTGTGATCTGCTGCAAAACATAAAAGATGGAGGAAAGAGCTTAGGCAATCCAAAATTTATTTTGTTTTATTGCTTACGATGAATTAAAGCTATTTTGTAATGAATTTACTATTTTTCAGCAATTTTGATCACTTCACTAATCAGCTCAATTGCAGAGGCCCATCTTTGCAATTGATGTCCACTACCTTTCAGTTCCAGACTCAAATTTTGATATGTTGAGATTCATTCTACTAGTTGCCATCTCAAAGGTCTTTGAAATTTCAAGAGCTGCAGTATCAGAGGAACTGGATAATCTCCTCATTAAAACTAGACTAAGGATTTCCTTCTGAGAACATTTCTTCCTTATTGAGAAGAGATCATTTTAACACTCACTTACAACTTCTATGCTTCCTGCTATAATTTAGCTGGGGGCAAAATTACATGTTTCTTTTTCTTTTCTTGTAAAGCAAGTACAGGAAGAAGAATCTAGGATAAAACCCTAATGTGTGAGGCAGAAAGGAGAACTGGGTTTTCCTGACTAATAACTCTAACATGCAATCTGAGAAAAGAATCTCATCAGCGTTCTCCATTCAGAGTACTTATAAGGAGGGAGTGTACTGAGATCATTAGGCCCATGTTATCTCCTGCATGTATTCCTTTGTTTGCCAGATATAGTTGTTAGCAGTGAATCATAGAAAGAGTTTTAGTGCTGATTTGGGCAATTGTTATTATCATCTGAGTGTGGTCTCGGATCTTATCACAGACACTTTGCCTGTCTGACACTTTGCTTATTGGTGCCTATGGCTCCTACTGCATGACATGAAGTCCATTTTGTCAAGCGCTTATAGGCATTTATAGGCAAAGAATCTACAAATACTTTTTGCAAAATGGGAAACAATCAACTCTACTCATGTCTAATATCTCTGGCTGCATAAGGTTTTTGTGTATGTGTGATGTCACATCCATCTGCAGCTCATCTTCTGTGACAATGACATGACTTTGGGGACATGTTTTGGGGACGGTGTTTTCATCTCACTTGATTCTCCTTTGCCAAAACAGCTAGCAATAAACTTCCGGTGGAAGTCTGAAAAAGCCATAAAAGTTTTCCACTTTCCTTTAATTATTTCCTTTTTCATTTTTTTAAAAAATGAAACTGTGCAGCTCCATAAGAAGAAAAATGTTTTAACATTTCTCCATGGGAATGGAAGTACAGAGTTGAACAAGATCTCCCCTCTGCTCAATTTTTTTTTATCGTTTGAGAAGCGATTTGCAGTTTCTCTAGTCGCTTCTGACACGATTTTTAAAAAATTGGCTGTCTTCAAAGACATTGCCCAGGGGATGCCAAGATGTATCATTATGCTGTGGTAGGCTTCTCTTGTGTGCCTGCATGGGAAGCTGGAGCTGACAGATGTGAGCTCACCCCATCTTGTGGATTCAAAGCACTTGACCTTCAGCTGAGCAGTTCAGTCAGCACAAGGGCTTAAACCATTGTGCCACTGTGGCTCCTATCCCCCCCAAATAAAACAGCAGGAAGACAGTGATGTATGAGAATATCAAATGTATTGGAAGGAGTCATCCCTGTTGTGTGGTAAGTCAAACACACTTTATTTTATTAGATAAGGAAAGAAGTACATATGATGGGGTGAGTAGGTATCTAGTACTCATCTAGCATTCTTAAACTATGGTTTGCCTATGTAAAATGCATTTTCTGAGGTACGTGTGATAAGATCTCATCTCTCTCTCTCTCTCTCTCTCTCTTTTAATTTCCCATTTTTCTTACTTAGTAGCGTATCTTAATTCTGTTTACCTTTATTGTTATTCTGAGTAGTACAGTTCGCCCTCCACAATTGTGGAGTTGACATTTGCAGGTTTGATCATTCACAGATTTGATTTAAATTTTCTGTCATGTAAAACATCTAAATTCCTCAGGGTGGCTATATTGTCAGCTTGGCACAGAATCATGCTGGAGGACCTTGAGAGAACACTTCTCCAGGAATCTCTTGCTCTGCCAGTGTGGTTCTATGGTCAACGCATCCTTTAAAACAAAGGATGTATTTTATTTCCCATTTGCTGAAGTCAGCAAATGACTATATTTTATTTCCATTAGCCCTTTTCATTTGTTAAAACATATATTGCTTAGAATGTGGTGACCCTAGGCACAAAGGGAGGAATAATGGAAGATTTACCCCCAGGAAGACTTTTAAAAGGGAATGTTTAAAATGTTGGTGTTCGAGGGAGAATGCCTGCTTCCCATGTCAGGAAGGTTCGGTTTTAGCCAGAAGATCAGAGGAGGGGAAACGAGACAGCGTCAACATTGCTACTATGACAGAGGTAGCTTCCAACAAGATGGCCAGGAAGTCTGAATAATCACAGAAAAGGCTGAGGCCAGTTTGGGATGGAAGTTGACATCACAATGCTCTCTCCCTTGGCAGTAGACAGCAAATGTGCAGGGGTTATTCTCCGGGGCATTACAGTGCTAGCAGCCTGAATAATCAAATGATCTTGCACCAGGCAGAAGCAGACGAGTTCTAGAAATCAGACAGCAGAAGCCAGACTCAAAAGGCACTACTTTCGGGGGAGGCCTTATATTTAGCAATTCTGCAAAACCTCTACTAGGTCTTATTTTCAGGGGATGCCTTATTTTCAGGGAAACAGGGTAGCCAACAATGTTGAACTTTCAAGTGACTCAAATGCTCCTTGCCAAGAAGTTACACAAGTAACTATGGAAGATTTGGAGTGGGGAGGAAAACAGATCAATCATATAGAGGTTTTTAAAATCAGTACACATCAACAATGACTTGAAAAAAATCATTAGTTGTAGGAAAAAGCACCATGGCCACCACTTAATTCCTTATAATGCACCACTGAATCTCATCAATCAGAGTGCTGGAAGAATAAAGCAGAAGTACTGTCTCTTCAAGAAAGATGTTATTTCAGTATCACAACTAATCCTTAGCTAAACATTAATAAATGCAATTCACTGGTGCTCTATAATTGCCATCTTGACTCAAGCAGTGAGAAGTATCTGAAACCTTTTATCTGCTTGCTAAATATTGCTGTGTACATGCCTAATGCTCACAACTTCCGCTCTTCTTTGTTGAGCGAGGGGAGTGCCTGTATTTCAGTAAGGAGCACCAAAATCAGGAGAGAGAGGTAGAAATAGCATGAATAGCAAGAATGAGCAATCAGCAACTCATTGTCTTTCTTGAAGAACCGCAAAATTTGCAAAAGCCAAACAGAAAACTTTTCTATCTATCTGTTGAAATATAATCCCTAATTTAAATGCTATCAGGTCTCCCAATTTATGCAGATGCCTGAAGAAAAAGAAAGAAATTCTCAACCTGTGGGTCCCCAGATGTTTTGGCCTTCAACTCCCAGAAATCCTAACAGGTGGCAAACTGGCTGGGATTTCTGGGAATTGTAAGCCAAAATCTTGGGAAAATACAGGTTGAGAACCATTGCCATAGACATTACTGTTAAAACTGACATAACAATTAAGTATATTTAACGAAGTCATTCAAACTGAGCTAATGTGGAATAATGAAACCATTCTAGATGTTGCTGCCTTAAGGACTCCTATCACTACCATTGAAAACCAGGGGAGGGAAATATCACACTTATATGAAAAAAAAATCAGGTTCCCTTCCATCTACTCAATTCTTTGTTATTTCAACACCACATAACAGAGTCTGTCACTAAAGCTGAGTGTTTAGAGAGAAAGGAAAACAGCATAGTACACACTGTCTCCTTCTTTCAATACCCATGTGTTTTTTCTTACACGTAACAAACCTTGATCTGGACTGAAATATTGGCAGTGTTGTCAGAACTGTATGTCATTACTGAACAAAATTATTTCCGACACTAGGAAACAAGTCAGCAGATAAAGAAATAACGTGTAAGTAATTATGTCTTCTGAATTCAAATAGATAATTCTTCTAACAACTCTGTACAGGAAGCTTGGGAGCTGTCACAATGGTTCATCAGGCAGTGACCATGATTAGACTTCAAAGAATGTCCATTCTCTGTTTAAATGAAATGAAATAAAATTAACAATGGAGATGAGAAAATGAAGATTGCAATGGGAATGAAAGCTAAGAAAATAATGAATGTATCTTTAAGTCAGCAGTCTTCCTGACCAAAGAGTGCTGCTGGTGTGCATGCATACATTTTAACATAACAGTTGTGTTTCCAAATCTAAATCCTCTCAAGTAAATAATGTAAAACCAAAAAAATGGTGAACAAACAAAGAAATCAAATTGAGGCTACCAAAATGAATGAAAATATGACTAATGGATGACAGCTCAATGGTAGAACATACATGCTGCATTCAGGAAGTACAAAACTCAATCTCCATTCTTTTCAGGTAAGGCTGAGACAGATTCTGGTAGGATCTTCAGGAAATACTGAGCTAGCATTGGACATACCATACAACTAACTACAAATCAGCTTCTTATAATTCAGCTTCTTATGCTCCTATTCTCCAGGGTCCATAGCTTCACTATTACATAGAACATTCTGTATATGTGGAGAACCTGACTGTCTTCATAAGAAACTCCATACAGGAGCATAGGGGGACTTCCTTCACCAGTGAAGTGAGAAGAATCTGGAGCAGCGTTTCTCAACCTGGGGGCCGGGACCCCTGTGGGAGGGTCACAAGGGGGTGTCAAAGACCATCAGAAAGCACAGTATTTTCTGTTTGTCATGGCAGTTCTGTGTGGAACATTTCATCCAATTCTATCGTTCAGAATGCTCTTTGATTGTAGGTGAACTATATATCCCTGCAAATACAATTTCCAAATGTCAAGGTCTATTTTCCCCAAACTCCACCAGTGTTCACATTTGGGCATATTGCCTATCTATGCCAAGTTTGGTCCAGATCCATCATTGTTTGAGTCCACAGTGCTCTCTGGATGTAGGTGAACTACAACTCCAAAACTCAAGCCCAGTGTCCACCAAACCCTTGCAGTATTTTCTGTTGGTCGTTCTGTGTGCCAAGTTTGGTCCAATTCCATCATTGGTGGAGTTCAGAATGCTCTCTGATTGTAGGTTAACTATAAATCCCAGCAACTACTACTCCCAAATGACAACATAAATACCGCCCCAACTGCAGCAGTATTCAAATTTGGGCATATTGGGTATTTGTGCCAAATTTGGTCCAGTGAATAAAAATACATCCTGCATATCAGGTATTTACATTATGATTGATAACAATAGCAAAATTATAGTTATGAAGTAGCAATGAAAAGTTATGGTTAGGGGTCACCAAAACATGAGGAACTATATTAAGGGATCATGGCATTAGGAAGGTTGAAAACCACTGCTCTGGAGGCACAATGCTGCCACAAATGATCTGATTTGGGACAGTCTTGGGAACAATGAATCAACAGACCCAATGGCACTCAGGTAGGGACTCTCTGACTAAACCTTTTAATTAGCTATACCCCCCAGAGAGTAGTATTCAATATTCAGGAGTAACTGAATCAAGATTTCAGAATCATGCCATAGTTCCAGTTCATTGTAGATATTAAAGAATGTTCCTTAGATAGGTGCTAACTAGCTGATCATATGCGACAATGGCATTTAAACTAAACACATTAGTGACATGCATAAAACAAGAGTCCATACCTTTTGAAAATTAACTCCTTGTGCCCAGGAGCAATTCTTGGGGTTTGGGACATCATCCCAAAATAACTTCTTCATTCTGAAATATTCAGATGCAGTATTGATTTGGCATAAAGGCTACATAAATGATATAGTATTTTAACATCTTTCTAAGCATGCTTTTATGAACACGTATTCAGACCTTTCATTCTCTGGGTTGCTGTGAGTTTTTTGGGATGTATGGCCATGCTCCAGCAGCATTCTCTCCCGATGTTTCACCTACATCTGTGGCTGACATGTTCAGAAGTTCTGTTGACAGTGAAGCAAGTGGAGTGTCCATATATATCTGTGGAATGTCCAGTGTGTGAGAAAGAACCCTAGTCTGTTTAAAGCAAGTGTGAATGTTGCAATTACCAACATGACGGTATCTCATCAGTGAAGGTATCTAAATAGAGGTAGACTGGCCTCTGTTGCCTGGGGGCATCCTCTGTTTGGGAGCTGTTAACTAGCACTTAATTGTTAGCTGTCTGAAGTTCTTCTGTTTCTGAGTGGTGTTTTTTATTTACTGTCTTGATTCTAGTGGGTTTTTTTAATACTGGTAATGAGATTTTGTTCATTTTCTTCGTTTTCTCCTTTTCTGTTGAAATTGTTCACATGCTTGTGGATTTCAATGACTTTTTCGTGTAGTCTGACATATGATTGTCAGAGTGGTCTAGAATGTCTGTGTTCTCAAATAATATTCTGTGTCCAGGTTGGTTCAAGTGCTCTGCTATGACTGACTTCTCTGGTTGAATTAGTCTGCCGTGCCTTTCATATTCTTTGATTTGTGTCTGGGCACTGCATTTGGCAGTCCCTATGTAGACTTGTCCACTGCTGCATGGTAAAATGGTAGATTTCTGAAGATGTGAGAGGATCCCTATTATCCTTTGCTGAACATAGCATTTGTTGGATTTACTTAGTGAGTCTGTAGATAGTTTGTAGGTTGTGTTTCTTCGTCAGTTTCCCTATGCAGTCAGTGGTTCCTTGATGTATGGTAAGAACACTTTTTCTCTGGGTGGATCTTTGTCTTTACTCTCATACTTGGTCTTGGTCTTGCAGCTCTTCTGATGTCTATCGTAGAATACCAATTGGCCTGTAGAACCCAGTTTAAGTGGTTCAGTTGACCTTGGAGGAGGTGGGGTTTAATATTAATAATGTTTAATACTGTTTTAATATTTGTATATTTTAAATTGCATTGTAATGCTTTTAATGTTAGCTGCTTTGAGTCTCCTTATGGAGAGAAAAAGTGGGATATAAATTGTTGTTGTTGCTGCTGCTGCTGTTGTTATACTGGGCTTCTTTTTTGACCTGAGTGATGGTTGGAGTTTTTATGTTCTAATAGTGTGTGCATAGGTTTTCTGTAAACTGTGTAGCCCAATTGTTGATTTGGTTTGCGGATGACTAGGAGAACTAGAAATGGCAGTTTTCCTTCTTTTTTTCCATGGTAAATTGGATGTTTGGGTGGATGTTGTTGATGTGATCCAGGAAGTTGTTTAGCTCTAAAGATCCACCCAAACATCCAATTTACCATGGAAAAAACTAAATTCATAAGTGCTATGGTTGGGGTGCTTATAGAATCAATTCCTACACAGTCCTGGAAAGTGAAAGAAACATCTGCAGAAATTGCCAAATTCACAATTATTCATCCCCAGTTAAAATGTATTTTCCATATGTAAATAATCTTATGTCCATAATATTACTTGATGTTAACAAAAATAACTATGTGAAAAGACACAGATTGTATACAAAAGCTTTACCTTTGGTGCAGGATCAGATAAGCTCCAAGCAGCAAAACTGAACATGAAATAACTAAGGGTAGTATAACATAGAAGTTCACATCATTCTGATTTTCCATGTCACCTGAAACGAATAGTGAATGGTCAGAGCTATCACTGTCACTACCAAAATACGGTATATGTTTACACACACAGTGTAGCCCTCGAACATTCTGTCAAAGATAGATCAAATGATGTTCAGAGGGTTTTCCTCTAGGTGAGTCCATACTGAAACATGAAATACTTTTGAATAGTTATAAGTCTATCCCACTTAGAAGTTACGGCAAGATCTGGTGCACATTTGGAAATAAATCCCTTTGCATCTAGTTGTGGCGTGGGGGGGATAAAATTCTAAATAGAGATTTTACAATTGAATTAGAAACCTCAAATGTATTAGTCTGTTTTAGGCCTAAAGCTTGTTGCTATTCCTGACTATAGTACACCCATCGAATCAATGAAATTTGCCTATTGCCTGAACAATTTATTGAATGGAGCTGCTCTACATAGGACTAACCAACAGAATGTCATCCATTGCATATTATAACTTAACTCAATCCAGAAAAATAAAGCAAAAAAATCTAGAATTTATCTGAAACAGTTGCCGTATTATAATAACTTCAAACTACAGGAAAGGAAATTCCACCTGAACATTAGGAAGAACTTTCCAACTGTGAGAGCTGTTCAGCAGTGGAACTCTCTGTCCTGAGTGTGGTGGAGGCTCCTTCTTGGGAGGCTTGTAAACAGGGGCTGAATGGCCATCTGTCGGGAGTGCTTTGAATGCGATTCTACTGGTTCTTGGCAGGGGGTTGGACTGGATGGCCCACAAGGTCTCTTTCTAACTCTATGATTCTATGAGTCTATGAATATGCTAAAATATATATTATCGAAAGATATATGCATTTGGAATAGCTAGAATAAATGAAATAGAAATAAAGTCTAAAACCTTTTTCTTCAATCTAAACACATGTTGCTACATTAGACCTAAAGTAAAGGTAAAGGTTTCCTCTGACATTAAGACTAGTCGAGTCTTGTGGTGGTGCTCATCTCCATTTCTAAGCTGAAGAGCCGGCATTGTCCGTAGACAACTCCAGGGTCATGTGGCCAGCATGACTGCATGGAGCGCCATTACCTTCCCGCCAAAGCAGTACATATTGATCTATTCACATTTGTATGTTTTCAAACTGCTAGGTTAGCAGAAGTTGGGGCTAACTGCAGGAGCTCACTCTGCTCCCCAGATTCAGTCAATAAGTTCAGCAGCTCAGCGATTTAGCCTGCTGCGCCACCAGGGGGCCACATTAGACCTTGTGACAATATAATTTTTTATCATTTTAATAAATGTATTTACATGCTATTGAATAGAGAGAATAGGCAATCATCAAAGATGATGGGAAATATAGTTTATATATCACTTATACATAATTATTACAATTACAGTAGAGTCTTGCTTATCCAACTTTCACTCATCCAACATTTTGTATTATCTAACAAGGTCTGCCACCCACCCGGATCCGGAGCGGTTTCAATACATTGAGATGTTTTGGTACTAAATTCATAAATACTGTAATTACTACATAACATTACCGTGTATTGAACTGCTTTTTCCATCAATTTGTTGTAAGACATGATATTTTAATTCTTAATTTGTAAAATCATAATGTAATTTGACATTTAATAGGTTTTCCTTAATCCCTCCTTATTATCCAACATTTTCACTTATCCAACATTCTGCCAGCCCATTTATGTTGGATACTTTTCATTTATTTATTTATTTATTTATTTAAAACACTTATATTCCGCCCTTCTCACCCCGAAGGGGACTCAGAGCGGAGCACAACATATACATGGCAAACATTCAATGCCTGGGTACAATACATAAACATTAAAAAACATTTATCTAAATATTAAAATACACCATTTAAAATAACACAATTTAAAACCGTCCTAGCCAGGATATGCGAGACTCTACTATATTATTATAATTACAATCATTGGATTTTCATGGTTTTCTAATCGAGATCAGATGTAGATGATTCATATATGCATTGCTGCTAATCAAGTGCACACAAACGCTATCTCCAATGTTTTGGCTACATTTTTCTCATTAATGGTTAGAACAAGAATTTATTTCTGAAGTGGAAAATCTACTAAACTTCAGTCACCTTTGGAGAATCCATCTGTCACCGAGGGCTTCATCACTCCATTCCAGGTTATTGGATACAAACTAAATCTATATTTCTCAATGAGAATGAAATCATCTGGAATAAAATAATATATTTTTAATTTTCACACTCTTACTTTTCTGCCCTTTTTTTATTTTTAAGCCTTAGCATCAATGAAAAACTGGCACCTCCACACCCAATTAAAGCAGAAAAGATGATTATATAGAATATTCATTTTCCTAAAGCTTTTTTTCTTAAAAAGCATACATATACATCTATGTCAGACCTCTCCTCCCTCTTCCTCATATTCCCCCCAATTCTCTCTCTTTCTTCCACTAGTTCTCCTGATCTTTTGTGCTGAATAAATGAAGAAAACAGAGGGGGGACTTAAAGTTTAACTATAATTGTACCTTTCCCCCAGTAATACATATAATTATTATTGAACTGAAAATATAAGTTCAAAATATAACACTACAGTTTGTTCAGAAGAATTCCTTACTTGATGCTTGCAATAAAAGGAGAGAACTAAAATGGATAATTTGCACAGAAACTGTATATATACCGGTACTCATAAGTCATATTGATGTGGATAAAACATACATCCGGGTGTGTGTAGAACTGCTGTATAAAAAGTAACAAATCTACCATTTAACAACTGGAAACCTATATTCCACAACAATAGCTACAATAGACTCTTACAATCTCAGTAATGAGACTTTTCAGTCTGGTATTGTACTGCCTAACTCCACTGTTTTGAAGTAATTCTTTATCCACACCTTATTTCTGAGCATTTGCCCTTCTCATCCTTTTACTCCAGAACTTGTCATTTCAAATTTGTTAAAGGTCTGTCAGTACACTGGAGATTTTTATATAACCGCTCTGTACAATGTGCTGCAAAGCATCAAAACACAAGAGGGGGAAAAGGAAGTCACGAATACAAACTCACCAAAAATGTGGTACTTTCTAATATCCGAAGGAACCATTATCCATTTTATTTGCTCTTCCCCATTCAGGTTTATCCATTCAATTACAAATGATGTAATAATATAAGACATGGGTGAAAGGGTCCAGGACACAATGACACAACTGCTGTTTACAGGATAAGTCCTCAGAGATTCCACAATGTTTACTGGCAAAATAATAAAAACAAACAAGAGCAAAAACAGAAGTTGGAAGAGAACTCATCAGATTCTCTTAATAATACATTTATTTATCCAGTGTAACATAAATAAGCCCCTGGTTAAACCACTAAGTTACTGAACTTGCTGACCAAAAGGTTGGTGGTTCAAATCCGGAGAGCGGAGTGAGCTTCCACTGTTAGCCCCAGCTTCTGCCAACCTAGCAGTTTGAAAACATGCAAATGTGAGTAGATCAATAGGCACCACTTCAGCAGAAGGGCAACAATGTTCCATGCAGTCATGCTGGCCACATGATCTTGGAGGTGTTTATGAACAAGGCCAGCTCTTCAGCTTAGAAATGGAGATGAGCACCATCCCCCAGAGTTGGACACAACTAGACTTAATGTCAAGGGGAAACCTTTACCTTTTACAGAATTATGGATTTTTTGTAAAGGAATTAAGTCATATTTCTCATAAACATAAGCTTTCTGATGACAATATAAAACACAGAATTTAAGTACACCTTATCAAATTTATTCCACGTGGATCAACTGTATTTTTATGGACTACTAAAGCAAGATCCATTCCATTTAATGTTATTTTTATCTCTACCATTAGTTCCTGTGACAATTTTTTCAAAAGATTGAGTTATTTTCATGTATATGATAAGCTACTTTGAAAATACTTACAATATGAGAAAACTATATGTTACTCAGCATGTTCAATATTCACTAAGATCAGGAGAAACAGTTTCCAAGTGAATAGATTAAACTGAATTGTTATTTATTTATTTATTATTTACCACATTTGTACCCCACCCTTCTCACAAAGGCAACAATTCGATGCCACATATACATATCAATAAATAAACACTTGCATTAAAATCCAAAACAATTAAAACATCAAACATTAAACCTCAATTAAAATCACACAACTTAAGTCATTCTCCAGGGCCAGGTCATACAGCAGGAATTCTTAAGCTTCTAAATCAGAAAAACAAGCTCTGCTATGCATAAGGAACTTAATATATCTTATGACTTAAATACTACTTATCTAAAAATGAACTACCTCAGAAAATAAGGACATTTTTGTGACAACATGGAGCACAAAACTACCCTAAAACATTTCTCTTACCTGTGCTCATTTGTTTTGACAGAGTTAAAATAAAATTCACAGGAGAAGCTCCAATTGAATTGATGGCTAGAACCTTAATGGTATGTACATCCTCAGCCCACAAAAATGTATATGCTGTGTCATTTTCAACATAGTCTGACCAAGTAACATTATCTGAAGTTGTATGCTCTACCATATATTCTAACACGCTGCATAAAGAAAGATTCTTCATCAGTGGCTGCAAGAAAAATCAGCATATATTAGGCATTTAATTTTGAATTGAGATTTAGCTGCACAGAATACAATTTTTTTTAAAAAAATGAACACTGTGATACCACTAACTCATTTTTATGTCAGATAAGCTGCAAACTATATTGAAGTTCTTCAAAGTTCTTTTTTCCTTTAATTGTTGTAAGTCTACAATGTACATTGTCTTCCACTAAACAGCTAGCCATTTACATTTGCAGAAGTTAGGTGCTCAGAACCCCCATGGAAGTAAAAAGCCACAAATAAAATCTCTGGCATGACTCTATATATAGTCTGCTTCTGTATCAGAGTGCCTATGTAGGTGCTCTCTCTGGGAATCTCTAAGTCCTCCAATATGATTTAATTATCAACTCTAATTGGAAGTTGACCAAAGAGTCACACTCCGGAGGATCTCAATATTCCCAGAGAACATGTTAATCAAATTCATGGATAATCAAATCCACAAAAATGGGACTTGCAGAAGTGGAGGATTTAATATGATATTGCCAAGTTCAGATTTTGTGTTTTCTGAAACGAGAAGGAAATTAGATGCATTTTTAGTTCTGTAAATTAATTTCTGGAACCTAAAGGGTAAACAATTTACTATGTTAAAGAGAATGCATTATAGAAATGGGATGTTGTGTGGTTTCAGGGCTGTATGGCCATGTTCTAGCAGCATTTTCTCTTGACAGGATTGTAGCCAGAAAAAAGAAATTGGGGGGGGGGGGGTTGAAAAACATTTAGTGAATCATGAAGAGTAGTTCCATAAAAACAAAATAATTTAAATAGTATAGTTCATTCTACATTGTATATAGATTTTTGCTTCTCATAGAATTAGTATGGGGATTTGGTTAACCAGTTAAAAATTCATAAGTAAACCAGGTTTTTTTTAACCTGAAAAATTTCAGGTGCTCTATCCAACATTGCAAACATAACACAAAACAATATCTGCTTTTCTTAAATAAATGAATTTAAAAGATGTTCAACAACTGTGATTTGGGGCCTTTTGCACCAAATGCCCACCAGATATTGCTTTGGATAACGTTAATCGGTATTATTGAGGGGTTTTTTGCTTTTGTTTCTTTCAGTATAAACGCTGATGATCTACTGAAAGATTTAAGTGCAGAAACAGCTGCTCGTGATTTTTTAAAAATGTTTTGTTGTTTCTTGATCCATCACAGACTCCAACTGTAAACACATGTTTCACTGCTAACAAAAACTCATTTCCCAGATGTCTGGATGAAGCTCAACTGAGATCTGCCGCAATCATATAATCACATATAATCAATATTACAAAGAGATGTCTAGTCTCTGATCTGTCTTCCCCATCCCCATTTGGATTACCTTCCAAAATAGTGTTATATTGTTCTGAATCCTCACTGGATCTTCATTAACAATTCTCCAGAATTCAGGTCCTCTCAATGGGGCTGAAATGGATTGTATTTTAAGAAACAAAACAGTAGTATGTTTGTTTACATACATTCAGTTAAAGCAACCCAACAAACAAGCCCATGTAGTGGAAACCATACAGAAATTAACTGACCTTTGATATCTTTGACAACAGTGTAAGCAGGTTTACTCCAGTCGCTCCAATAACCAACTCCATCAGTCATGCTGCAACGCACCTGAACAATATAAACTGTGCAGGGATCCGGCACAACTACAGTGGCAAAGCTAACAGATGGAGTAGAAATTTCTTGCATCTGTTTTAAAAGAAAGAGTGCCTAAACTAATGTTTTCATATTGAGAGAGACTGAGAGGTGCTGAACGGGTTATTTGTTATTTAATTGTGTGAATGCAACCCACTATTAAGCTTATTTTGTAAAACAATAAATTCAAATCTTAGTTAAATTAACTAAATCAGTGGTTCCCAACCTGTGGTCCATGGACACCAGGGGTATGCAAGAACAAAAATATGGTCCACAGCCTCACCATTATGACATCATTGCCTCAAAACCATTTGGCAACAAGAGCGACTGGTCTCTCAAAATCCTTTTGTAGTGCCGAGGCAATGGGGATGACGGGAGGGGAGAGGATGATTACCCATGAAAGATTACTACTACATCACCTCTAGATTATTAGATATGGCTTTCTGTGGGCAAGCAGATGGTGACTACTGGATGGCATATGTTATGTATCGGAAATAGAACTGCTGTGGTCTATCCAATTGTCTGAATCAGCACCCCAAATAACCAAACCAAATCTAAAGTTGACCAAAAACCGATTCATAACCCTTTTGATACTAATGTTGGAGAGTGGTCCCTGTCAAAAATAGGTTGAGAACCACTGAACTAAATAATATTCCATGAATGCCCATATATTTATTAACTGGCAGGAGAACACCACTGCATGCAGACCTTTGATGAATGGGGTAATTTAGATTAAGTCTCATCATACCTCCCAATTAATTTCTGTTCCATTGACAGCATACCGAATCTGAAACTGAAGATCATTCTTTGGAAGCTCTGGGTTATTCCATCTCACAAGGAGCAGCCCTACTTCTTCTGTGATTTCGGCTTTGACATTGGTGGGAGAAAATGGCTTCACTAGAAAGTTAAACAAAAAAAAGTGTGACTGGCTTATTGTCAAATGATATATATATTCAAATATTCCATGAATCTCAGTTCTCCCCTACTGAACTGCAATTAAACAGACAAATTAGAAGAATTTATGTCTCTCCTTTCATACAACTGATTGTATAAAACAGCAGTTTCATTCTCTGATCCTGCCCGTGTTTTGGACTCCAACTCCCAGTCTTTGGCCACTGGACAAATTGGCTGTGGCTTCTGGGAGTAGAAGACCCAAACACCTGGAAAACCAGTCTAGGAATCATTGGTTGAATGGTTGATTCTTATATAACCTTTGTGAATGCATGTCCAATCTGATGGTCTGTGGTTCACAAAAAAAAGTTGGACATCTGTACACTCCTTTGGATTGTGTTCGACATTTAAATAATTCATGTTTTGCTTTTTCTTTCCCATATCTATAGCCACAGTGCAATTACAGAAGCAAAACAATTCCTTAAATGAGCTAACAAGACTACAAGAAGGTGTTCCTCAAGCTTATAAGAGGATGCAGTCTAATTACACATGATATTCCCTCTTTGCCTATATGCAGTAGATTTAGTTGGAGAAAATGCATAACAAAGAAGTGGTGGAATAAGGAAAGAAAGATAAGTATTTAAAATGTAAGTCTTTATTTTAAATGTCATATTATTGAATGCCTTAGTGATTCCAAATGGTTCTACATCCACCTAATTTCCTCCAGTTTAATAAAAACCAGCTATCTCTGCTTTATGCACAGGTTCACTGACTGCATCATTGGCTAATTAAAGTACCATTGTGACATGATTGTCTAATGAAAGTACCAAAAGCAGTGGAAAACTGGAAGGAGCCCCTGCCCACTATACTAAAAGATAGTGGAAGCATTTATGCGAGAAAACAGCAATTCTGCTTCTGTAATTGACAATTTGCAAATTAAAGTCTTAAATTACAGAGGCAAATAATGTGTTGTAATTGGGATTCACTGTATATTGTACATCTTGAAATTGTGACTCAGCTAGCTTTAGTCACCTTTTAAAGTCATACAAATAGGCTAATGATAAATTTTAAAAGTCATCTTAGGGTCTACTTATTTACCACAAGCCACTATAAATGGGTTAAAATACACAAGGTTTTTGAGAAAGGCAACATGATGTAACCTTCTGAAAGCACTAGATACAAAAATTATGATATTATGGGTTATGCATAATAAATATGATTTGCAAGCAAGTCTTTAGACAAGGTGTTGTGTTGCCAGAATCTCAGCATTGTGAGAGCCATTCTGGCAGAGCAGTGAGTACTATCTTAGATTTTTCTTCGTGGTCTCTGCGAATGCACACTTGTGGAGAGACTGCGCCTGCGCGGGCTCCAACGGAAACTTCTACATTTTAAAACTTTTGAAGTTTTGGCGGTAACCCCGCCCAGCCCCGGCAGGGGATAAAAGGGCGCCCCGCGCGCGCCGCTCCAATTCCTTTTTTTCCGCCGCACGGCTCACTTCGGTACTTCTGATTAGTGTTGGATAGTGTTGGATAGTGTTCGATAATTCTCCTTGGAGTTCTCCTCGAGTTGTTGACTATATTATGTCAACAACTCGCTTCAAAAGATGCGCGAGATGTCCGAAGAAGATCCCTGATTCGGACAAGCACGCTCTTTGCCTTCTGTGCCTCGGGGAGGCGCATATCACCTCCTCGTGTCGTCATTGTCAGGCACTGACGGCGCAGTCCCGTAAGAACCGGGCGCATCGACTTCGGTATCTGCTGTACCAACAGGCGTTGGCCCCGGTACCTTCATCATCGGCATCGGCGTCGACGTCGGCCACGGTGTCTAGACCTTCGACAGCAACCTCGACGTCGAGAGCTCCGACAACAACATCTGTCGGTCCCTCGGCAGAAGCCGAACCCCGACAGCCGAGAAAGGCTGCGCAGAAGAGACCGAGGGCAGCTATGTCGACAGCTTCGAAGACCTCAGTGTCGACGGCTTCCAAGGCTCCAAGGCCTACGAAGCAGGCACCTCCATGCTCGGTCACTACCGAGACCGTGCGCATTCGACACTCGTCGACCAGCTTGGTGGCATCAGTGAGATCGGTCAGGTCCACGAGGTCGACTTCTGCGACTCCGCCATCTTCCACGGCGGTTCGCATTGCCTTTCGTCGGTCTCAGGAGGAGTCTCGGCGTGCCTCTACCCCATCCTCCGTTCCGCCCACCCCGGGCAAATCACTACCTAAGACTGTTCAGCCACCGGCAAAGAGGAAGAAGACGATGCCACCTCCACCCTCGTCTTCCTCCTCTTCTCGAAGGCAAACCACTGCCTCCTCGGCCACCTCGTCGGCGAGATCGTCGCCAGTACGGCCCACCGAACCTCAGCCGGCACCGCAGCCTGCTCAGGTACCTCAACCCTTGCCGGAGCTACCTCCAGAACAGCCCGTGTCCCCGGTGATCTCGGTGGACACGGTGATCGAGGCACCCACTCGACAGGGGACAGCCAGACAGCAGCTTTTCCCGCTGGTCCCGGCGTTGACTACTGTGACAGCCAGACAGGAGACTTCCCCATTACCGGGGACTCCGGAAAGGGGCAGAAAAAAAAAAAAAAAAAAAAACAAACCAAAAAAAAAAAAAAAAAAAAAATAAAAAAAAAAAAAAAAATAAAATAAAATAAAAAAAAAAAAAAGGAGAAAAGAAAAAAAAAACAAAAAAAAAAACAACAACACAATAAAAAAAAAAAAAAAAAAAACACAAACCAAAAAAAAAAAAAAAAAAAAAAAAAATAAAAAAAAAAAAAAAAAAAAAAAAAAAAAAAAAAAAAAAAAAAAAAGAGAAAAAAGAAAGAAAAAAAAAAAAAAAAAAAGAAAGAAAGAAAGAAAGAAAGAAA